CCTAGGAAGTAATGATCACAAATGCTAACAAGGATTCTTTTTTTTTGTTTTTTTTTTTTTTTTTTTTTTTTTTTTTTTGCTCATTTGCCTTTAACAGCCTCCCAGGCACCTTAACTGGACATAAGGAGCCCAAAGACGGGCAAATCCCAGGATCAGGTACACCTGTCAGCCCAGCTACTTAGAAATCTAAGCAAGAAGGTTGTCAGCAGGGTCGAGTCCATCCTAAACTACATGGTGAGTTCCGGGCTAGCCTAGGATGCAGAATGAGTTCCAGACCAGCCTGAGACACAGAAGGAAGCGCCAATTCAAAAATTAAATACATTAAAAAAAAAAATCATCTCCTGCTTTCTCTTGGCAAAACAGACTGCTGGAAAGGAAGGTGCTGGAACAATCAAGATGCACTTCCCCGAGGTCAAAGAACAAGCTGGGAGGCAGAGAACACGCTGTTACCTAGTAACCTCCAATCCACTGTGCCCCCTCCTGACCCCTCACAGAACTACAGATTTCTGTTTTAGAAATATGCCCACCCCGGTCCTGCTGCTCAATAAAAAGTTTCACACCTCCTGATTTTAAAAATGATCAGTGGCCTATATTCTATAACTAGCAAGCGTACATCAATTTCCGTTAAACCAAAACAAAAATATTAATTTCCAGGACTAATAATGGGCATGCGCAGAACCCGAAGATCCAAGAGCGCCCCTAGCGGTTCGCAGGCAGCGAAGTAACTGAGAAGCTCGGCTTTCCTCCAACACACTCAGCTTCCAGCCCAGCTTCCTTTCTTCCCAGGGCAGATAGACCAATGACCCACGCGTTACAAGAGCAAGTGCACGACACATGCGTCTTACTCACTGCAGCCAGAGATGCTGTCTTGAGACACCACGAGGTTTGTGCACTTCCCATCCGGCCGCCTAGCCTCAGGCTTCCACCTTTCCTACATCTCCCAAATCCTGAGGATGTTGCACAGATCACCTTGAGTATGGGGCCTCTGGTCCAGAAGGAAGTGTACGGGTTTCTGGGTGCCACATCTGTGCATCTGTTAAGAGCCCCCCTTCTTCCCCCAGACACTGATGAGTATTGGGAATAGAGGTGAACAGAAGTCCTGGTCCAAAGAGCACAGTGTGGAGCTGGAGGTACAGGCACCACCACACAGGTTTAATTAATGATCTATTGCAAGAGCTGTAATGTGGGCAGGACTGGAGGTGTAGCTCAGTTGGTACAGTGCTTGCCTAGAATGCACGAAGCCCTAGGTTTGATCCCCAGCAGCGAATAAACCAGGTGGCATGTGCCTGTAATCCCATCACTTGGGGGAAGAGGAGGCAGGAGGATCAGAAATTCAGTCATCCTCAGGCTACATATAGAGTACAAGGTCAGCCCGGGGTACATAAGACCCTATCTCAAAAAACAAAACAAAACAAAAGGTGTAATATGGGGGTGTTAGAGCAGGAAATTTAACCTAACCTGGTGAGGGCTTCTTGAAGTTGGAAAGAAAATGATTTCTTTGGTTTTTAGGGGTTTGAGGGGAGGGGTGACTTTAGTTTCATAATTTTGTCAAACTCAGCAATCAGTTCTCATCCACACTGACTATAGTTTTTTACATAATGAAAGAGGCACAGAGGTTCAGTGACGACTCCTTACGTTTTCTGGGCGAATGCACACAGGTATAACATGGGACCATCTTTTTCTATTGGTCTTGACAGCTTTGTAGAGCCTGGTATCCACACAAACACTGGAGTCCCCATCCCATCGTGGCATATTTCCAAATCTCTCCTAGGACCTGCTTCTTGAAGCCTATTCCATCAGTGTGTTTATAATGTTGCTGGTGTGTTCTCTGGCCACCACCTCCTTGATGGCAGACAGTCCCCTTTCTCCAACACTTTCAATGTAGGTGACCAGCAGCAGGAAAAGCCCAAACTAAATTCCGCACACTGTTGGGTATGGAGTCCTGCCAGGGCTTTTGTAAGGGTGAGCCAGCCACTGTGTGCATTTGGGTCTCTTAGATGTCCCTGACCTGGGAATCCCTTCAGGCCTTGCTTCCCTAAGCCTAATGTCCTAGGGTCCCAGAGGCTTGGGCGCACAAGCAGGTTCCATTTGTTTGCAACAAAGAACCATCTATCCACCCAGTACAGTGTAGAGGATGGAACCAGACTCCTAAAGACTGGAGCCTATTGCTCATATTTTTTGCTTTTTAAAATGTGTTATTATTGGGACTGAGGCTAAGCAATTAAGAGCATTTGTTCTTGGAGAAGACCTGAGTTCAGTTCCCAGTAACTACATGGTGGCTAACAACTGTCTATAACTACAGTTCTGGGGGAACTGGCATGCACCAGTGCACTTATATACATGCAGGGAATACACTCACACACATAAAATATTAAAAGTTATTGTGTCTGTGTGCATGATATATGTGGGTCTGTGTGCCACAGCACCATGTGAAGAGGTCAGAGGACAACTGTGTGGAATCAGTTTGTGGAATCCACCTTTATATGGATTCCAGGGATCAAACTCAGGTCTCTTGGCTTGGTCTCAAATGTCTCATCTACGTTTTTGAGACAGGGTGTCATGTAGCCCAGGTTGGCCTCAAACTCAGTGTAGCAGATGACCCTGAATTCCTGATTCTCCTGCCTCCATGTCCCAAATGCTGTGATTAGAGTAGTAAAGAACTAGGGAGGGTGGACATCGTTCCAGAGAAGGGCTAGTAAGAAGAGTAAAAACAAGTGTAGCTGCTTCTGCCAGTGGTTCAATAGGCACTGGAGGCCCAGAACTATCTGAATTTTATTAAAATATGTAAGGGCCTGACCCTGGGTTCTGACATAGGTGTTTATAGGACTGGTGATCCATCTCAACTTCCACAGCTCATGCTCTGCCATTCTGTGACTGTTATCAGGCATAGAGAAGTATGGTCCTAACTCCTTACGTTTTTTTTTTTTTGTTCATTTAAGAGACTGGGGATTAAACATGTAGGCAGGCACTCTATCCCTGAGCATAGTTATCTCCAGATCTTATTTCATTAAAACTAAAGATACCAATATTCAGTGCTGAATTATCTAGGCTTGCCTGCAGAACGATCTAAGTGGCTTATCAAGTCAAGGCTGAAGCTTTCAGAGTCCTGCTCTATGGCCCATGATGACCTAAATTTAAAATCCTGCCTTAACCTCCCCCTAATGGTTTGATTACAGGTATGTGCCACCACACCCAGCCTTATCACTTAAGCATGTGTATGGGCATGTCGTGGTAGAGGTGGTGCTAGGTTGAAGCATTGAGGCACCAGGCCCAACTTCAACAAGCACTCTCAACTTGGTAAGATACTCAACCTGTTTTGAAGATTGCATCACTGCACTTTAACTTCTGTTGTGAATGGTATGTGCAATACAGGTGCCCAAGGTCAGAGGCATCAGAACCCCTGGATGAACAGGTAGTTGTGAGGTGCTAGAACCTCAGTCCTCTCCACATGGCAGCACATACTCTTAGCCACTGAGCCAGTGCTCCAGCCTGTTTAACAGTAAGTGAAGCCATAGCAATATGCCTGGCTTTCTCGTGCTTGCTTAGTTCCTGATCATCTTCTCCAGAAGGCAGTACTGCACTTTCATGTTATCACTTTTGGGTGAGAAGCCAAAAAAAAAGTTATCTTTAATAGCTCTGAATCTTTTCACTGATTCCATGTGCAACACTTCTGAAGGCAGATTACTGCTCTAAGCATAATCCTGGGTTTCCTTCTGACACCAGATTAGCAGGGGACCAAGGTACCACTGTAGAAGTGCAGTGGGCACCTGATGGGAAGAGTCTAACAGTGGATCATGCATGTTGAACGATCAAGTAAGAAGCTTGTAAGACAAGTTTAAGCCTAAACAGGAAGGGGTGGGTAAGCTGGGGACAGGTTTGGGCCTGGTGGACCTAGGAACCTGGGCACTTTCACTCCCAGAAAGACCTCAAAATGCCACCAAGGGTTAGGAAAGCCTAAGTCAATGGAAATGCTTTATACTAAGCAAATAAAAGGTAGTGTGGCAGGCCCTGGATGACAGCCCGGGCTGGACCCACCATCAGTAAAATTTTTTTAAAAAAAAGGTAGTGTTTGTATTCTATCAAGTGTTTTACAAGGGGACTTAGCAGTACCCCTTTCTTTCAAAATTAGGTAGCTGGGGCTTGCTGCTCTCTGGTAGGCTGTATTTAATTTTCAGCACCCAAGTCAGGTGGCTCACAAATGCCTGTATTCCACTTCCAAACCAGGCCACCCACTGAAGGCTATAGAAACTTTCATGTGTATGGGTATTTTGCTTACATGTATGCAAGTGCACCATATGCATCCAATGCCCTGCAGAAGAGGGTGTTGCATCTCCCTGGAACTGTAGTTATGGTTGTTAGGCATACGGTGTTGGGAACTGTGAACCCAGGAGCCCTCTGCAAAGAGTAGCCAATGCTCTCAACCGCTGAGCCATCTCCAACTCAACCCCCAATTGTTTATAAAAGCACTAATTTGGGGCTGGAGAGATGACTCAGTAGTCAAGAGCACTGACTGCTCTTGCAGTGGACCCTGGTGATTCCCAGCACCCACATGATGCCCAGTTCCAAGGGAATCTGAAGCCCTTTTGAGCTCCGTGGCATTGCATGGGTGCACTCACATACATGCAGGCAATACACTCATACTTGTTTATTTTTAAAAAGGCACTAATTGAACCTTCTGCCCCTCCAACCCCTCAGGACACCAGTGTGCTCTCTCAGAACCCTGCTTATGTTGCCACCTTTACAGATGCAGAGTAGGGAAGACCTGGGGGAGGCAGGCAGGCTGTTCAGAAAAGACTTCAAAATAGTCATGACAGTCCAGGCAGCAGCATTCCTATGTGGATGGATGGGATGCCCACTGTGCCTATTCCCAGACATGAACAATACCTACATGTAATTTCAATTGCCAGTAGCCCAGGCTGGCCCTCAACTCAAGATCCTCCTGTCTGCTGGCATTAGAGAGGGATGTTGACACCATACCCAGTCCCAAGAAGACCCCTGTCCCAACAGACCAAAAGGTCCAGCTTTTTATTGAGCATGTTAAAAGGGTTAGTCAAAAAGACCGAAGCCCATGTCATCATCAGATTCCTCTGATTCTTCTTTCTTTGCTTCTACTTTCTTTTCCTCAGCTGGGGCAGCGGCAGCAGAAGGAGCAGGACCACCTGCTGGAGCAGCACCAGCTGCCGGGGCAGGTCCACCAGCCCCTACATTGCAGATGAGGCTTCCAATGTTGACATTGGCCAGGGCCTGCAACACAGCACAGGTAAAAGTTACTCTCCACTCTTGGGAGTGGCTTCTCTGCCAACATCAAAATGGGAGCAGTGCACACTTTTAAATCTTTTTTTGGTTTTGAGACAGGGTCTCCCTGTAGCCCCAACTGGCCTTGAACTCGAGAGATCTGCCTGTCTCTGCTGGAATTAAAGGTGTGCACTACCATGCATGGCTCCCAGATCTAAATCTCATACAGTACTTGCATTTGAAATGTATAGCTACCTGAATTTCCTTTCATAAATGAGAAAATTGGCCGAAATGAACTTGAGAGAACTCAAGTTTCCTGAACAAAAATGAGGGATCAATTCTTGTTCATGATGCCTAACAGTGAAATAAACACACACTGCTAAGTCAAGTAGGGTGCCTGCAGATCAATGCTAAGCTAACAGGTTTGGACTTTTTGTATGACAGGGTCTCACTCTGTAGACCAGGCTGACCTCAGACTGCCAACCAGGTGCTGGAAGAAGAAACATGACACCACAACTAACAGTAACATTATCAACCTTTACAAAACTCTTTGGAAAACACAACCCTAAGAAGTGACTTTCAGCTTGCCAAAAACTCAAATTAACTGGTATAATTAATTGTACAAGAAGGTAGGTCTTCCCCTGTATAAGCCCTTTTAAAATGGGCTTATATGCCCAAACCACTGAATTCAGTTTCCTCAGAACACTGGTCCCTTCATTATCTCCTGAATAATGACAGTCCCAAACACTTCCCAAACCTTACCTTTGCAAACAAGCCAGGCCAAAAAGGTTCAACATTGACGCCAGCTGCTTTAATGAGGGCATTGATCTTATCCTCCTGAAACACAAAACGCCAATTCATCACGATCCCAGCTAAAACCAAGTCACTGAGGTGTACAGAGCCATCATTAATATAATTTGGGCTCCATACGGGTACTTCATGAATGCTTACTTTAAAATCACAAGCCTAGACTAGCCTGAGTCACACAGCTATTTCAAGTTCGGACAGTAGGCAGGTGGGGGCAGAGCGCATGCGCACCGTGGGAACCCAAAGCCATCACGAGGATTTCGAAAGTTCGCGAATAAGGCCGGTACACACAGCCCCGCAGCTGCTGTTGCACACGCGCTCCTGTGGCCAGCGCGCTGGGCTGCAGACACGCGGGTCCGCACGTGGCCCGAGGCCGCCGGAGTCGCGGCTCTCACCGGCGGGAAACGCCGGGCCTCCCCCACCACACTCACCGTCACGGTGACCTCGTCGTCGTGCAGGATGAGGGCGGAGTAGATGCAAGCGAGCTCGGACACGGAGGCCATGCTGCGGACTGCCGGCGCGGTGCTAGTCGCCGGATGAAGTGAGGGTCTCACCCCAACGCGGCCTTAGCTTCCTCGGAAGAACCGAGCACCTTGGCGGCAGCTGAGGAAAGGGATCCCCGCGCCTGCGCGCAAGCTCTTATACGGCTCCGCGAGCCAATCGGCGCTCGGCGCCGGGCGGAAGGGACGGGGCCAGGATCTAGTGGAGGCGCCTGCGCGAGTGTGAGCGTCCGGTTTCCTGGCGCTGGAGAGCTCAGTGCCCCTGCGGGTATTAAAAGTACTTTTAGGGACACGGAGACGCCCGCAGGTTCCGCAGCCTGCTTGAACTGGCAGGACCTCAGGCTCACACTTTCTGGAAAATGAACTAATTACGTCTCCAGCGGACCTGAACGTCGCGAAGGTCATGGGTTTGAAGTTCCAGTGCTTAGCCCATTGTCTGATGAAATAGGTAAATTCGGAAGAGGGTTATAAAACACAGGACAGCATACTAAGAAAAGCCTAAAATCATTACATTAGCAAAGTACATTTAGGAGCTTGCAGATTCAGAAAACCACTTGACAAAATTCTGCAGCCGTTTACGTAGACACTTAGGGAACTAGGAGAGTAACTTTCATAACCTGATAAGGATTATAATAGTAAAGCTTGCGGAGCATGGTGGCGCACGCCTTTAATCCCAGCACTTGGGAGGAAGAGGCAGGCGGAGCCATGATTTCGAGCCAGCCTGGTCTACGTAATGAGTTCCAGGCCAGCTGGGGCTACAGGGAGACCCCCCCCCAAAAAAAAAGACAAAAAATAAAAACAAAAAGTGAAGCTTTTGAAACATTCTTTGAAGATCCGGAACAAACGTGTCTCCTTTTGTTTCTGTTTCAATTTCTTAACCATCCTGGAATTTAGTCACGTCATAAAGACTTTAAGAGGTATTAGAAAGGCACAGCTGGGTGTGATGGTACATGCCTTTACCCAGCACTCTGGAGGGAGAGGCATGTGGATTTTTGTGAGTTCGAAGCCAGCATGGTCTACACAGTGAGTTCCAGGGAGGCCAAAGCTACATAGTGAGACCCTGTCTCAAAAAAAAAAAGTGTAAATTCTCATTAATAATGTTCCCCCAGCATTCCAAGACAACCCATAGACAAACAACTCAGCCTTGTAGTTTGACAAGGTTGCTAGACTCAAGACTGATCTCCAAAATCCTGGCAGCATTCTAAGCTCAGCCATTGACAATTAGAAACTGCAGCCAGTCTTTAAAAAAAGCAGAATACAAAGAAACACCTCAGGGACTGGACATAGCTCAGCAGATTAAAGGTGCTTTTTACCAAGCTGTCTCACCGAAGTTGAATCCCCAGAACTGGCATGATGGAGGAGAAAACCGGCTCTAGCAAGTTGTCCTCTGACCTCCACATGGTGCACTGTGGAATGCCTGCACATACACACAAACACACACACTGTAATAAAAACACCCCAGGTTAGGGTGCAGCTTAGTGGTCTACCACTAAGCTACCACTCTTGAACAGCTTGTGTGGAGGCCCTGCGTTCCAGTGCTAAGGACTTGAACCCAGAGCCTTAATAGCCTTAAGCATGATAGGTAAATAAATGCTCTAACAGAAATACTCCTGTGATTTTTACTTTTTTAAGTTTTAATTTTTTTATGTGTATACGTGTATTGCCTGCATGTAGGTAAGTGCAACCGTGTTGAGCAATGCCCGCGGAGGTCAGAGGAGGCTGTCGGATCCCCTAGGACTGGAGTTACAGACAGTTGTTAGCTGCCATGTGGGTGCTGGGATTTGAACCCGGGTCTTCTGAAAGACCAACCTGTGTTTTTAACCACTGAGCTGTCTCTCCAGCCCTGATTTTTATTTTTTAAATTTATAAAATGATCTTAGCACCAAAAAACAATGGAGCAATAAATTTTTCAAAAGAAAAAAATTTGTGATAGGGTGTTATGTGCTACAGCTGGCTTTGAACTTGACACTGAGGATAATGTTGAACTTGTGTTTTTCCTGCCTTCTGAGACATGGCCTCACTGTGCAGTCCAAGCTGGCCTGGAGCTTGTGTGGTCTAGGGTGGCCTTGAATTTGTGGCAATCTCTGTTTCAGCCCACAAAGTGCTGGGATTACAGGCATGTTCCACCAGAGTAGCACAGACTAGACTTTCTATTTTGTAGTAGGTAGCCCTGGCTAGTCTGGAGCTTACTATGTAGACCAGGCTGGCACAGAATTCACAGATCTACTTGCCTTTGCCTCTGTATTGTTGGAATGAAAGGCATGCACCACCATGCCTGGCTAGTTTTTTCTTTTGTTTTGTCCTTGTAGCCCTGACTAGCCTAGAACTTGCTATGTAGACTAGGCTGGCTTTGAACTCATAGCGATACCTGCCTCTGCCTCAAGTGCTGGGATTAGTGTATTACTGGCGATGCAAATAGATACACAGCCAAGCAGAACAGGTGATACACTCTTACACTTAGGGGAACTTAGTAATGCCAGTAAACTTTACAGATCCAAAAGGAGTGTTTTGAAACAAAGCTGTACCAAGGGATGGTAGAGAGTGGGGGCCTCAGAATGGTGGAACGTATGCCTAGCATGCTTGAGGGCCCGGGTTCCATTCCCAACACTGAAAAAAATAAAGGCATGCTAGGCATGATGGCACATCTTTAATCCCAGCACTCAGGAGGCAGACATGTGGATCTCTGTGAGTTTGAGGCCAGCCTAATCTGCATAGGGAGTTCCAGACTAGCTGAGGCTACAGGGTGACCCTGTCTCAAAAGAACCAAGAAAGAAAAACAAGTGCCATGAAGTAGAAAAGTCATGGACGGGGAGATCTGAGGCTTAAAATAGTAAAGGATACATAAAGTACTACACACCAAGAAAAACTTAGTAATACTTAGAATGCAAAGATACTAGTATCTAGAGGAACCAAACTCACTGACAGATATGTATTAATAAGCCTGAGTGTTTATGTGCATGTATGCAGTGCCCACAGAGGCCATAAGAGGGCATTGGATCCCCTTGGAAATGGAGTTACAGTTGTGAGCATCCATGTGGGTCCTGGGAAGTGAACCTGGACCCTCTGCAAGAGCAGTGTTCTTAGCATTGAGCCATCTCTCCAGCAGGAATTACACATTAAGTCAATGAGATCTCATTTCACATCCATCAATTCATAAAAAGTAACTTAAGACACCAAGTACAGAAGAGGCTGTGAGGATTGAACGGTTGCTGGTGGAAATGGTGGATTGGCAAAAGAACAAATTTGCAAAAACTTGGTTACAAGTTGCTTATGTGCACAGCTTAAATCCAGCAGTTCTGACTGTGGCCCCCACCTTAACACTCTGGATTGTACACGAGGGTCCAAGTGCAAGGCTGTTCTTTGCAGTAGTACTGCAGAAGGAAAACTGCACACTCTCAAGGGGACAGGGACATTATAGAAAATATCCTGCAGTCGCCATGAATGGGTCAGTGTGAAATGTGAAGTCTTCCACCATGAGTGATCAAGCACATCAAAAAAGGAATCCTGCTAAACCTGGCTTCATTCTGGACTATGCAACTTTCCTAGGACCATCTTGCTTAAGTTTCTAACTAAAATTATCCAATTAGGGCCAAGAAATGTTCAGCTAAGCTAATGTATAAAGATGAGACAAACAGCATGGTAGCTCTGGTCAGACTTGGGCTCACCTGCAGACTTTGGGATCTGTGAGCCAATTTCAGCCTATTTCTTCACCTGTGTGTAATACACATTCCATTAAAAGTAGTGTCCATTTGGGTGCTGGAGAGAGAGCTCGGTGGTTAAGGACATTGGGTGTTCTTGCAAAGGACCCAGGTTCGATTCCCAGCACCCACATCATGGCTAACAACCATCTGTATATAACTCCAGATCCAGAGGAATCTGATGCCGCCTTCTGACTCCACAAGCACTGCATGACAAGGGTGGACTTACATACATATATAGGCAAAACATACACATGAAATAAAAATATATTTTTAAAAAGTAATGTCCATTTAATCTCAAGTTGCTTTCTGTATCCAGTGCTTTCTTTTCTTGCATCCCACAAATAACAAGTACCAGATAAACAACACTGCAGGTGCCTGGGAATGTGTTGAGTGAATGGCGGCCACACAACTTTGCAGTTCTTACTGCTTTTTAATTCTTTTAGCATATCTAAAAGTCAGAAATTGAATATATACATATAGAATTCTAAACACCACTCTAAAATGGTTTTGTCATTGGCCAATTATCTTTATTTTGAAAGTCTGAATCATTAAATATGTGTAAAGTGCATTCTTGCAGCTAATCAATAGCTGTATTTCTTTATAAAACCTTAATATTCAAAACAGTTGGAAAAGTCACAATAAAAAATGAGATCTAGATACATTTGTCCTTAATTACCCAAGACAAACACTTGCATGAATTAGTTTATAAGTATACAAGAAATATACAAAAATAGCATTATAAAAATAGTTCATACAGCAATGTGAAGGGGCGTGTCTTTCTCTATTAATATTAAATATGGCAAGGCATATAATACACAAAGAATGTTGAATCCTGGGTGTCTTTAGAAACATTAGGAAGGCTTTGTTCTAGGCCAGAGTATGACATAGTTGAGGTCTGTATTGTTCTGCAAAGCTGCATTTCTGCAAAGCTCAGACTGCTTTCAACAATGCTTTGGAGAAATCACCAACAGGAACCGAATCGTTCTTCTGCTACTGGGGCAGTCAGTTCAAGGCTTCTTGCGCCTAAAACACAAAAACCAGCATTTAATGGTAAATTTTGCACTTAGTGACTTAGTCATGGCAAATGAATCTTTAGGAAAGTTGTGAAAAATTGCTATTTTATCAAAAGTTCTTTTGAGCAAGCAAGTAACTATTACACAATTGTAACAGCTAATAAGCCTCCCCATTTTTAGCCTATTGCAGCCATTTTCTGAATTGCCTAAGGAATCCAAGTGTTAAAGATGTAGAGAAGAATATTTGCAAAGAATGAGTTTTACTAAATACAGAAAAAGTAGTTTGGAACTCTTTAGTGCGGGATTTAACAGAAGAGGGAGTAAAGAATGTGATTCCTTGTCTCCCTGCAATCCTGACATTCAGCTATATTTAGAAAACACTCCTAAAAAGGACCAAGAGGCCAATCAGGTAAGAATGACTTACGCAAGGCTGTTGTCTCCAAAATGATCTGACACCACCTGCCCTTACAGCCCTCTGGAGAGCTCAGCACTGTAGAGGCCTACCACAGATTTGCCAGGCAAAACTACCCGGAGAGTAAGGGACAGCTGTGAGCAGTAGTGGTGGAAAGCCTGGAGGAGGGATGGGTATAGGACTGGCCAGTGCTCACTTGGGTTGTGCATGGTGCTGATATCCAGGTCCCAGCTGAGATCCTGCTCTCATCTCCACAGCCACAGAACACTAGAGGAAAGTGACAGAAGACGGAATGGTCAGCTCCTCAACAGTCCAGAAGCATACCTCTATTTAGATGGCCTCTACCATGGTGAAATCCAACACACTCTCTAGATCAGCAAAGACACTGAGGTTAAGCCAACCATCACACAATTTTGGGCACAGGTCACATTAGGAGCAAGAAGGGTCTTTGGAAAGTGTCCAGGTAGTCTCTCATTTTACATAAGGGAGAAAGTTCTTAACAAGCTGGTGGCCAGGGCCACCCCTCTCCCAATCCTATCCCCAGGAGTCATTCCTTGGGGATAACAGTCACCTGCTGCAATTCTTGTTAATTTGGAGTGATACTCTGGCTCCATTCTTGAACTTTGCCCCCACTATGCTCAAGACCTCTAGTGAAACCAGACCTAAAGAAATGCAAGCGCCCTAAGGTGTGTTAGTAACAGGCCTTCAGGCTGCATGGGCAGTATGAGGTCCTGCCTCTGCATCATCAAAGCATATAGTGCTACAGCACTATACCACCTAATTTTAGCAAGCAAGTATTTAACTGTACCCCTACCCTTGTTTCTACATCGGTCCATTCAGACTCTGTACCATCTGGTTGGGCAGGTGCTACTGTGGACGATCTTCGTTTTCGACTACTGAAAAAGGCGAAACATGATGCAACAATTACTTTTGCATCTAAGAAGAATGAAAAACATTAGAAGTAGGGAAAACCACTTATGCCCCTGTGGAAAGTTAACAATAAACCTCACAGGATATTCTGTTCCTAAGAACAAGAAGCTTACAAGAGGAACAAGAGGAAAACAGCCCTTTAAGTAGACACCTGTGATCATCACTCACCCAGTTGGTGATTCTTGCTTTAAAGTCTCAACATCAGTAAACTGGACAGCTTGTCCACCACCTCTCGTTTTGTAAACATCACCCTAAAGCCAAGAGAAAAGGTCACTGTTACACTTTGATACATCCAAATGATGAACATGCATGTATTTAAAACTGATCTGAAATTCCCATCCACAAAGACAAACGGCCCTTGGACTGCTGAATCTACTGAGCAAAGCACTTGAGAAAGCTAAGTAGACCGACTAAACAAAACTACAACAACCATAACATTCCAAATTTGCTCCTTTTTATTCAACCAATAATCTAAAAGTTAAACTCCACTAGAGACAGATTAATCTACCAGAAATTTCTACACGTTTAAGGCAGTGTACCTTCCTCTCTGGTGGCAGTAGTCTTATAACTATCTTCTAAACTGAATTTGAAATGAACCTCTACATAGCAGATCATCTTTTATTTTCCTTATTTTTTTCATTGACTATGATCAAAAGAAAACTCTTCTGTAAGCACGCAAGTCTTTTCTTTCCACAAGAGATTTTGGGTAGCTCAATACTGAGTACTTTTCGTAGGTCAAATGTGTTAACTATTTGTTGTTTATTTATTGAGATCAGGACTGTGTAGCACCAGCTCTCCCTAAACTCAAAATCCTCCTGGCATGTACCACCATGCCTGGCCATCGGTCAAATTTTATTTTGTCTTTTTGAGACAGGGTCTCCCTGTAGCCCCAGCTATCCTGGAACTCACTATGTAGACCAGGCTGACATCGAACTCAGAGATCCTCCTGCCTGTGCCTCCAAGTGCTGGGATTAAAGGTGTACACTACTACATCTGGCCCAGTTTACTTTAAAATAGAAATTTAAGCTTAATACACAGTAAAGTAATAAAGTACATTATGGATCTGGAATTCTAAGAAACCCAAGAACTGAGCCTATTCGAGTAGAGCTAGATTTGTTTAGCAGATTTGCAACCTAAGTGGTTAATTTTATGCTAAATAAAAAGTTCCATCTGACATCCATTTATGTTGTAGTTGTCATCAAAGAGAAACAATTTCTCATTGGTTTTCGTCTATGAAAACTGGTTTTTACCTTTATTACTTTAGTCTGAATCTCCCCATCGGAGGCTAGTTCCTGGTGGGTCAGCATGTACTTCTCACATTTAGCTAGTGCCTTTTCATTTGCAACAGACACTGTGATGGCATGAGGGACATGTGGCTGCATGACTGTTTCAGTTTGCACGTTTGAGGCGGGCTTATGATCTACCCATCTGCTCCCTGCAGAGCGGGACCGTCTGTGTCGGACAGGAATTGGTGTGTTCTGATCAGGTTGAAAGAGGAATTGAGAAACAAGCATAACCCAGAATTAATTTAAGAGTATTATTAGAAGTGCAGCAGGTTTGACAATGTTAATTCATGACAATATCAAAACAAACCTCTTCAAAAGCTAAATATTTAAGTAAACACTCTCTTCCTAGCCAAACATAGAGCCAATAAGCATCTTTTGACAACAGCTTCTGTAGTGGACAGTCTCTGTGGGAGCTGCCCTTCCAACAAAGGGCAAAAGGTAAATTCTGCCAGTGCTACTAGTTCTTCCTATATAGGGGGAACTCAGGACAAGTAAACCATTTTGCATTTGTGATAAAAAATCATTAATTATGATTGCTTTGTGAGCTATCTATAGAGTATCAAGTCTGTTAAAAGCATCAGCAAGATCAATAAAAGCCCTAACTATGTCCTAAGGTATTTAAGCAATAGAAAACATTCCTCATGGACTGGAGAGGTGGTATAGCCGTTAAAGGCTCAGGCTTACAACCAAAAGGACAAGAAAATACACCTCAAACAGCCAGACCTTAAAAAAAAAAAAAGCTGTTGGCATTCTAAAGTAGAACTGAAGAGCATAGGTATAAAGAGAACCTCATGTGTAGCATGTAAAACAGTGTCATGTACTTCTGAGTACTTTTGAACACTTCCAGTTAAGATTTTTATATCTCAAAATACAATTACACAAAAGGTTCAAATGGCTAAATATGCCAGTGAATTTCTTTTCTCCAAAGATTTCTTAAAATTTCTAAGAACCAAATAAAGAATACAGTACCAAATCAGTTTCTATCATACAATAAAAAACTTGTTGCTTCCAGTCAAATGCCATGTGAGCCAAGATAAACAGCACTCTGAGAGCCAGAAAAAAGGTATTTCCTATACACAACACAGTAGCTTGAAGCAATTTGTGAACATCTCATTTGTTAAACTGAAAGCAAAGGAGCAAGTCTGCTATGAGCAGAATCCTTCCGACCTGGTCACATAGGAAGATGCTGATTTCAAAATGCTCACCTCCCTACACTGGAGGAAACAAATGAAGCAGTAGTAACAACTCACATCATCACTGTAACAGTCAACATAATGTGTCAGCTTCTGAAGACATTGAATCTCAACACATGCAGGAAACTATCCATTCTGAAACTCTACAAGTGGTCATGATATAAGCACCTTAAAATTTTTCTTCACCAAAATGTGAACTCAGTCCACCTGACAATTTTTGACCAACATGGACACAGATACTAACCTTGTGGTAACTTTTCTGCTGCACTTCTAAGGACACTTTGATTTAATGTAAGAAATTAAAGTGTCTCTAGTAAATCCTCCTAAATGTCTCATAGTCATATTAGACATTTCATATGCAGACCTTCCAGGTTTTCAGTCTAACATACATAGTAAGAGGATGGACTAGAGTTGATCAGAAAGACCATTCACCATGATTTGCTTTCTACAAGCTTCAAGGTGGTAAGTCTCCAAGTTAAGAACTTAAGAGACCTCAGAATTGTCTGTTGCCTGGATAAGAACTTTGGGACTGGTCACTGTCCATTTATGAACAGGAATGCAGGGCACCAAATATTCATGCATGTGTAAATTAGCTGAGAGACTCTTAAGCAAGTATTTACTGCAACATTATTTTAAAAGAACAGTTAAGATTTTACTGAATAGTATTGTGATGATTTATTCAAATTCCAAAGAATTTTTACCTTAATATTGAAGAACATGTGAAACTCAATTTACTTGAGCACCCTTGAATAAGGTAAAGTCCTTTTAATTTGATATAGACCTCAACAAGATTAAAAGTAATTTCCTGGATGTGAAAATTACCACATGCAATGCATTCATGTGGACTGTGCCATGGGTTGAAAGGAGAGGCCATCATTGGCACTGGAACAGCTAGGAGATTAGAGGATATTTACTGAGTGCTGACTTCCTTAGATGTGATAAAGACTGGTCACACAGGACAATACCCTTATTTTTAGGAAGTGGCATCTATGACTTAACTTTCGAAAGACTCAAGTAAAAAATACTTAAAACAATGTAACAGTAAATCTGCATATGTTAAGGGTAAAGATGTTACCATATCATTCTTATAATTTTTCTTTAGAATTCTTTAAAAATCAGCAAGGACAGAAAAATTAAATTTGGAAAAGGGAAGCCAAAGAAAAATTCATTGTTGGGTTGTCAGGGTATATGGCTCAGTTGTAGAATGAATGTTTACCCTGAGTAAGGCTCAATCTCCAGCAACAAGAAAATGGGGGGGGGCGGTGAGGAAGGAAGGGAGGGGGGAATGGAAGGGAAGGGAAGGGGGAAGGGGAAAGGGAAGGGAACAAGGGAAGGGAAAAAACACTCATGTTCCTAGATTCTGTGCAAAGCTCATACAACTGCAAAGAGTCTAATCCTGGAGGCACCAAACTGGTGACATTCATAGCACTCACAGGGCATTATGTTAATGCTGCTTCAGATGAAAAGCTTAGCTTCAATCTTGGGGTGACTAAGTCTTTTCTGGGGGGGTGGCAGGGGCAGTTGGTTTTTGGCAGGTTCTCCCTGTAGCTCCAGCTGGCTGGAACTTACTACGTAGACCAGGCTGGCCTGGATCTCACAGAAATCTGCCTAGCGCTCTGCTGAGATTGAAGGCATGCACCACAACGCCGGCCCAGTGATTTTATCTTTCGCAGTAAAATAGACCTTGTTCATTTTGGAGCCACCCACCCATCTTTCCATTGGAATTCTGGAACCAAGTTACAAAAAGCAAAGGAGATAAAATCTATTACTACAGTGCTTTAAAATACTATTGGCACGAACCCTGCAGCAACGGTCCTCTTCTACTTCTATCTCAGCTCTGAATGTAGGAACCATTTCCCTGCCTTCAGTCCAGCACATCCCTCGCCTTCTGTCTGACACCATACAAGTTTTACTTTGTCCTGGCTCCTGCTGCCTACGCCTTGCAATAGATGTGACATTGACAGGTGTGCTGTACGGAGAACTTTTCTGCTCCCATTCCGAAATACAGGAAGCTACAGAAATGCTGCTGCAAGAGTTAGAGCGCCTATGGAGCTGCGGCTGGCTCATGAGTTGCTGGCCGTTGGAAATCTGAGCAATATTGTTACTAGAAAGCTAAAAAAATTGGAGAGAAATCAATGAGTAAGACTGAAAAACTGAAAGAAACAATATTACTTTTCTACAATTTTAGTTCATGAAAATTTAACATTGTGTGTATAGTCATTAAAATTTTTGCACTACATTTTTTTTAAATAGAGAAAATTTCTTTTTTTGAAGATAGGGTCTCGCTATATAGCCCTGGCTGGCCTGGGACTCACTATGTAGACCAGGCTGGCCTAGAACTCAAAGATCTACCTGCCTCTGCCTCCCAAGCCCCCTGCCTCCCAAGTGCTGGGATTAAAGGCATGCACCTCTATGCCCAGCTAAAAATAAAAAGTTTTTAAAAATTCTCATGGAGAGACATCCTCCAATCTGAACAGATTTTCTCTAGTATTAAGCTACTGCACAACTACAAACACTTACAGGCAGTGGTGATGGAGAAGCTGATCTCTGAATGACTCTTTCCCGGTCTCGCTCCCGGGAGGGTCTCTCTGGCTTCTCTGGTTTGGGTTCAGTAACAATAGCTTTCAGTTGTTTGAGCTTTTCATCTTTGACCCAAAGTTTGTTCTGCATCTCCAGCTGGGTGGCTGCCACCCGACGCTCCTACAGATGTAATGGCATCACATCACCCACTGTACTCCTGGGAGTGACAGCCCTCTCCTATTTCCAGAGGTTAACAAATACCACCCAACTCTGCCACAAGCACAGTAATCTAAAACATGTACACTAAGCAGAAGATGAACAAGTCACCCAGCTCTGAGAGCACTGCAGGACTGACACTCACGCACTCCTTCTGCCACTTCACCGTCGTCTCTGTAACCATGCCTTGCAACCTGGCTTCTAATCTGCGGTTGTCAGAAAACTGCCGCTGAAGTTTCTGATTCTGTGTTTCAAGCTCCTGCTGCAGATTACGTTTATCTTCTTCATAGATCGTAGTTGTTTTTTCTAAAATCTCAATCTGGAAAGGCAGAACATTATGTTCAGTATCTTCTATGTTAACATTTCACTATAAAATAATCCTTAATTTGCTCATGGAAGTAAACTTGTGTAAAGAAAACTATCACAGAAAAAACACTTTTGCCCTCTAAAATTTCATCTGAACTCCCAATTCCATTCTGAGAAGTGAGGACTTAACAAGCTTCTTAACTGAAACCCAAAATTTAAGTAGCTTCAACAGAAACTTTTTTCCTTAAAACTAAGGGAGAACTTCAAACTTTCCTTCTGCTCACAGAAAAGCCACCCTGAAGTGTTTTTTGTTTGTTTTTGTTAATGATGCTGAAGATGGAACCCAGGGCCTCAAACATGCCACTGAGGTATACCCTAACCCCTTCACTAACCTTGTTGTTACTGATTTTGGCAGTATAGGGGATCAAATCCAGGGCTTTATGCATACTAGGCAAACACTCTGCTACTGAACTATGTCCTCAGCTCTGTAAGTTTGTACTTTACAAAATTTATTTTTATTTTATTCATATAAATGTATTGTCTGCATGTATGTAAGTGCACCTGAGTCATGCAATGCCAGAGAAGGTCTGAAGGAGTTGGATCCCCTGGAACTGAAGTTACAGATGGTTGTTAGCCACCATGTGGGTGCTGGGAACCAAACCTGGGTCCTCTGCAAGAGCAGCCAGTGCCCTTAACTGCTGAGCCATCTCTCCAGCCCCAAGTTTATACTCTTATAACATGATTTGTAAACTAAATTTAGATCCAATTAGCATTTTACTGTGCATTTGTTACATTCCAAAGCAACATACTGACAGTTTCATATTATGCTTTATTTCATAAGATTGTTTTTAAAAACATAGAAGAAAAATTTCTAAATAAATCAAAAAGTAAAACTAAGCCAAACTTGAGTCTTCTAGAAAACCTACTTGTTGGCCAAGCATCATGATGTACACCTGTAATCCCAGTGAAATGACAAAACTAACTCCCTTTTTTGTTCTAGCTGACTTGCTTTACCCTGTTTTGCCCAGCCATTCCCACTGTAGGCAATTGGGCAGAATGTCTCATGTTGGTAGTTTAAGGGAGTACAATTTTTCTACAATACTGAGAAACTTAACAAGTAGCCAGGTAGCATGTCCAGGTAGCACATCCCTCCAACCCAGCTATACCTGCATCTCTACGGAGCCCAGTGTTTCCACAATTTTAAGGAACTTGTTTTTTCCTAATTAAAACTTTTTGTTAATTGAAAACCTTTGTTAACTGACTTGCCCCTAATCTGGTGTAAACTATGGTTATCTGCTGTAACAATAATTATTGGCTTTGTCCCTGGCATAATGTAATTGTGGTTTTTTTTGTTTTTTATTTTATTTTATGTGCATGTGTGTATTGCCTACATGTAGGTAAGTGCACCTGTGTCATGCAATGCCTGCGGAGGTCAGAAGAGGCTGTCAGATCCCCTGGAACTAGAGTTACAGATAGTTGTTAGCTGCAATGTGGGTGCTGGGATTCGAACCCAGGTCTTCTGCAAGAATTGTTAGTGTTCTTAACCACTGAGCCATCTTTCCAGCCCTGTAACTGGTTTTAAGCTTTATAAATCCTGCTCTGCTTTTCCTCAGGGTTAACAGTTCTTTTGGGAATTATCCCCCTCTGACCACTGGCTATTAATAAAGGACTCCCAATTCAGCCATCACTATGTGGCATTCCTCTGTGCATCTTACTTGGTATTATACCAGCACTCAGGATGCTAAGGCAGGCAGGGAGAAAAGAGGGGGACCCTAGACCCCATAGGTCTGTGCCTACTTGTTTTGAGCCAGAAAATATTCTCTGTAAGCTTAGTCCCAAAACATGCTCTTTTATGCCTTTCACTCACACAGTAACAGGCACATGTGGCAAAATGAGGGGTCTGAGACCAGTGCCAAATACCCAGTACCTATACAATGTGAAAATGCAAAAACAAACCTTATACTCCAAAGTTTTATTTTTCTTCTCCAGTCGCTCTATTTCGGATTTCTGTCCTGAGATCAACTTTTCTTTTTCATTTAGTTTTCCATGAATGTAGTTTTCTTTATTTGAAACAGCACTGTCAAATTCTTTTAACAAAGCCTTAAAATTAACACCTGAAACAAAAGCAAGTTTTACATTGGCTTCAAAATAACCAATGAAATCAGCTTTTATCAGCAGACACTAGATGTAGCACTCTAGCAAATCCCTCTATGGCATTCAGTGTGTAAGAAGAAAGCTGCTGGGGGTGTAGGTCAGTGTCAGTGTCTGCTGAGCATGCATGAGGCCCAGGGTTCATGCCCACTATCACCACCAAAAATGGTGGTAGAAAAAACAAGTCTGGGAAGAAATCAGGACTATGATCCTAAAATCTCTTAAATATTCATGGAAGTATTCTGTAACCTCTTCAACACTTGCAGCCAAGTTTGCCTACAAATGCAAAACCAAAAATAACCCTGACCTGGGATTGGCTGGACCTTAGGTATAGACACTGGTACACCACTTGGCCACTCACTGAGATAGTCACTTAGCATGGACCAGACCTGTCCAATTGTTCTACTGGTCTTTCAAACATATCTCATTTATCCTCACACCTTCCTGAGGAGCAAATATAAATAACCCCCATTTTGTACACACGGAAAACTATGACACTTTCTTTTGTATCCATCACTATAAATAATTTTAAAATATGGAAGGACATCCACTTCTTTTCTTTTGACCTTCTTTAAAAATAAAATAGATGGGACTGGAGAGATGGCTCAGGGGTTAAGAGCACCGGGTGCTCTTGCAGAGGACCTAGGTTTGGTTCTTAACATCCACATGACAGCTAACTCTAGTTCCAGGGGATCTGACACCCTCTTCTGGCTTCCTTGGGCACTGCACACAAACGGTGCACATATCCATGCAGGCAAAACACTCAGACACAAATAAGAAATAAAATCTTTTAAAAATTAAGTAAGTAAAAATAGAGCTTGTGGGGGAAAAAATATCTTGCCATTCAAATTAAACAATGTCTTGAGTACTACTACAAAGAAACAAAATAACTCTTTCTTAAGCATGCATCCTGCCACAGATTCAGATTAGGATTTTTTTTTTTTAATGTTTTATTATTTTTATTTTATGTGTCTAAGTGTACTGCTTGCATGTATGTCTCGTGCAATGCTGCGGAGGTCAGAAGAGGGCTTTGGATTCCCCTGGAACTGGAGTTAAGGATGGTTTGCAGCCGTCATGTGGGTGTTGGGAATCGAACCTGGGTCCTCTGCAAGAGCAGTCAGTGCTCTTAACCGCTGAGCCATCTCTCCAGTCCCAGGAATGCTTTTAATCTCTGACTATAAAGCAGCTTTGCTCTTACATTGTTTGTTAAGCTCCTCAATCATCACTTGTCGTAGGTGATGTCGTTTCTCCAATGCTTCAATCAGCTTTGGAAGAGTCTGCTCATCATTGATATCCAGAAGTTCACATGGTGGCAATGGTGGAAAACTCTGCAGAATCACTTCAGTAACCAATGGTTCTGTATTGAATTTTAAAATTACACAAGAAAGAAAGAGCTTAAACAAAGCTGACACTGTGATTAGAGCCCCAGACCTATTAACCACAGAATTTATCTGAGACAAGGTCATCTCATATAGCCTAGACTACTGATTTCCTGATTGTCCTGCCTCAGCTTTGCAAATCCAGGACTTACACATGTGCATACCATGCCCTCCTTTAAACATGGAATTTCTTTTCTTTCTTTTTTTTTTTGGTCTTTTTGAGACAGGGTCTCCCTGTAGCTCCAGCTGGCCTAGAACTTGCTATGTAGACCAGGCTGGCCTCAATTTCACAAAGATCCACACTTGCCTCTGCTTCCCAAGTGCTGGGACTAAAGGCGTGCACCACCACACCCAGCTAATCATGGAATTTCTTGACTGTCTTCCTCAAAAACAAATCTTGTATTACCTTTCAAACTTTTCTGCAGTTAGTATGTAAATAAGTTTTTTTTTAATTAGAGAGAGACAAATGAGTAAATGATACACAAAATCATACCATCTCCAACTGGGCCTCCTCGAGCCACATTTCTATAGCGCCTCCCTGGCGTCAAGCCACATATCACCTTGTCTACAGGTCTTGCTACTTCAACTTCTTGGGTTACTTCAGCAAATCTCATGACTTGCTAGAATACAAAACAAATGCACTATGTAAATAAAAAGCCTATCCAGGTACTTCTGTACAGATTACTAAATAGGGTGGTTTATTAGTTCATTTATATGCATCAATGATCCTGTATCAATTTCTAAAATGTTCAGAATGGCATTCTTCATATGCCAGTAGCTGTTTTCCCTAGAAACTCGACATTATAGGACAAATGCACTGAAATTACCAAGCTTTCTTCATAGTCTTCAGCCTTTGGATTCACACAAACGATCATTCGTACTTTTCCTTCCCCATCAAAGTAGTTCTTGAACAGATGGGTTAACTTTGAATCTCGATATGGAACCATCTATAAAGACATTCAAAAGCTAAGTATATCAAGCAACTAAAATGCACAAATTAAACCAAACAAGCAATGGTTACTGCATACCTTGTTAGTTCCATACATTTGGTTCTCTCTCAGGACTTCCATGCATGTTCTTAGTGTCATCAGGGACTGATTAATGTTACCTGACAGAAGAATACATGCAGAAGATATTTGAAAACAATACGGTAGCTAAAATATGTTCTGTTCAACTTCATGTTCATTATTACAAAATTAGAAAGATTTTCATGACTCAGCTTCAAGAGCTGTCCATGCATGTCTCTCTCTGGCTGTATTTTCAACAGTATTATTTCCAGGTGGCCTAAATAACCATCCTTCTTCAGGGATTCCAGTAAAAGGATTCTTCATCAAACATAGTATTATTATTATTATTATTTGGTCTTTTTGAGATGGAGTCTCCCTGTCGTCCTAGCTGGCCTGGACTCTCTCTGGAGACCAGGCTGGCCTCGAACTCACAGAGATCCACCTGCCTCTGCCTCCTGAGTGCTGGGATTAAAGGCGTGTAGCACCACACCCAGATTAAACACAGTATTATTCTTAATGACCCAAAAGATGTCTCCCAAACTCTAAATTCTGTCAAAGACTTTGTTAGGCCAAAGTCATGTATTTGATTTCTTCTCTTGTTTTGTTGGTGCTAGAGACTGAACTCAGGGGCCTCACACATGCTAGGTAAGCACTTTTAACACCCAGCTATATTCTCAGCAAGGTTTGATATCCTCATTTCTCTAAGCATGAGCATCTTAGTCTACTGATGGCACCATCAAGAGACTGAAGCCCCTCCTGCACCCAGAGAGGACACATTTCTGATAGTCCCGCATCTTAGGAACTAGCTAACTCTGTCCCATCTCATCTCAACAAGTTTTCCTAGGCAGCATACTTGCTCTTTCTGACCAATCTCACTTGAAGTTCTGAACCAAGACAATCATTAGGCTAGCAGATTAATCATGCCTCTAAGAATTCAGATCTCACCAAATTATACACAAAAAGTATGTAAGAGCCCCTTTGGGGCTGCGTGGAAAAAAAAAAAAAAAGGTACATAAGAATAGCTCATCTTGGAACTTAGTAACTAAGGCCTCCTAACTCTATCATGATTTCATCACTGTCCTATCAAATAGTTTTGCTAGGCATGGTGATACATGCCTATAATCCTAGCACTCAGGAGGCTGAGACAGGAAGATTGACAAAAAGCTTTAACTGAAAAAAAACCAAAATGTAATTTAGATGGGCTGGCAAGATGGCTCAGCAGGTATCTTGGTTTGTTTCTTCATTGCTGTGACAAAATACTCTGACCAACTTGGGGAGGAAAGGGTTTATTCAGCTTCCACCTCCTAGGTCACAGTTCATCAGGGAGCCCAAGGTAGGCACTCAGGACAGGAACCTAGAGGCAGGAGCTGGAGCACAGGCCATGGAGGAATGCTGCTTACTGGCTTGCTCCCCTGACCCCTGCTCAACCTGTTTTCTTATGTAACATAGGCCCACCTGCCCAGGGGTGGTACCACCCACAGTGGGCTGGGCCCTCCCACATCACTCATCAAGAAGATACCCCTCAGACATGGCCACAGGCCAGTCCAATAGGGGCAATTCCCCAACTGAGGCTCCCTCAACCCAGGTGTGTCAAGTTGACACTAAAGCTGTCCAGCACAGCAGATAAAGGTGCTTCCTGCCAAGCCTGAACAGCAAAGTTCAATCCCTAGGGCCCACATGGTAGAAGAGAACTGACTCCTTCAAGTTGTCTTCTGACTTACATACACCCACTGTGGCACTGACACACACACAAAAATACACAATAAATTTAATAAATTTTTTTCATTTTTCATTTTCATTAAATATGCAAAAACCACCCATTGATAATATAAATTGATGTTGCAAATTTTTCAAGGTTATTGGCATAGGTAAGCACAGCATTCCACTCACCAGCTTCACGCAATCTGTTCCCTTCTGCTTTAGTCCGGTTAGTTCTTTCACTCCCAGCAAGATCTACCAGAGACAACTGGCTGATAGTAATTTGTTCTTTTTCCTATAAGGGATACAACCAATAACTTAAGTTATAAATGCTTTGGTGTTCCTTAAATAAACTCATTAAATCTTAATGAATCCCTTACGTGCACAATGCAAAATGCCCAGGAAGACAAAGGACACATATTTTAGGAGAGTTTGCGAAAAGCTTCTGACTTTAAGTGACTGTTTATCTGCTGCCTGGTTTTCCTCTTCAGAGCAGACATCAGGTGGTAGCTCCTGAGAATAGGGACTCTTCCATTTTGCTATTGCCAGGTATTATTTAGAATCCCAGTACTGAAAGGTCTTGGGTTCTGTCTTTAACAATACCCACCCCCGGGGAAAAAAATAACCTAATGTCACAGTACTGTAATTTTTATAAAAAGAAATGAAGACCAAGAAGCACCTGGATGACAGATTAGAAGTAATTCAAATTCCCAGCACCAAAGAAAAAAGTCATTCAAAGGAAATCAAGTATATATGAAAAGCTGATTTAGAACCGTTTTCTGGTTAACAATTATTTAGTGCTTACTCTAAGCCAAGCACTGGACAAAGAACTTTCCATGTATTACTTCCTTTAATTCTTACCACCTTATGAAAAGGTTCTATTATAGTTAGGTCAAACATCTGGTAAATACATAGGAACCAGAATTCAAATTTTAGTGGTCTTCAGAACCATGTCCTGCCACCATAACCTTTCATGACACAGCATGAATAGGATTACTTTAAAGCTCAAGTTACTATGTACACAGTCAGGTTCAAACACTATTAATAATTTTTACGTGCTTTATAGCAGAACAGGCTAGTAGTAAGTAGTGATCAGCCAGTGGGGCTGACCTATCTGACAAGAGATGATCAATGCCAAACACTGGCCACCTTCTGAACTATACCTACCTAGAAAGTGAAATGCTGACATTTAAAATCCATTACTAAACTTCTGCACACAGGGTTGGGGATATGAAGCAGTGATAGAGTGCTTGCCTAACATGAGCAAGGCCCTGGGTTCAATCCCTAGTACCGTAAAAAATAAAATTTCTATATACCAAATGAGTCAAGTCAATTGGAGCTAAATGGAGGTTGTAGATGTAACTCTGTTGGTAGCATGCTTGCCAGGTATGCACAAAGCCATGGGTTCCATCTTTAGCACCACATAAGTCAGCTCATACTTGTAATACTAGCACTCTGGTAGAAGAGGCAGGGGGAGCAAAAGTTCAAGGTTATCCTGGGCTATATGAAACCCTGTCTCAAACAAAAAACAGCCAAAGATAAAATAAACACAAAAGAAAAAAAAAGGGGGGGGGTGAGGGGGAATCCCACAATCTAACACAAAAAATTTTCAAGCTTTGTAAATCCTTCTCACAGCAAAATCCACATGCCATATATACTTTCCACTAGTATTCAGATTCAAAGGCAGACTCTCAAAACAACACTAATGACATGGAAGGAAATGCCATCAGCTATATAACTACTGATTCTTTATTATAATCTTTATTAAAAGACAAGTTCCATAATTCAGGTCATCTTCCGAAATTAGGACCAAATTAGAAAGATAAGCTCTACATGCAAAATGTTACCTGTAAAACATTATCTCCATCAGCATCCAGGGGAGCCTGAACTAATTTGATGTTGAACACACTATGGGAGCGACTGGACTCTCTATTCAAATGGGTGTTAGCAATTCGTCTCTTTTTCTGACCTATGGTGACAGAGAAATCATTGATCACACCTGAATTCAGTTACTGTGCTATACATGCTTTCCAACAAATCAAAAGAGACTGCTGCTAAATTATGGTACCACTTTGAGACTTAAAACCATCAATTTTAGTTCCATTTCTAACCTCTCCAAAAAACTTCAAACGCTTCCTCAGTAGACTTCACCTCTACTTCTGTACATCCTGCAACATACATATTATGGTTCTTGTCTTCTCGGAGCATTTTAGATTGTGGAAGTCTGTGGAAAGAAAAAAAAAATCCTAAATGAGGTAAGATACTCTTGTCTTCCCTTACGACTAAGGTTAAAGTGCAAGGCAACAGAACATCAGGGCTGGTAACAGAACACAGAGCCTCATGCATGCTAGGCAAACTATCATTGAGCTACATCCCCAGCTCATGAGCATTCTTTTCTTAAATTTAGTTCATAGTTCTAAAAGTTGGATAGTCCAAAAGTGTGATGCTGACTTCTGGTGAGGGACTTTTTGTTGTTAACAAGAGATGCATCACATGGTTAAGATAAAACAAGTATGCTACCATGACATCCATTCTTTAGTAGAGGTTAAGTTTACATAAGATCCCAAAGCAATGTAATACCTGAATAAAATTATAAGATTATAAAGTTACAATTAGTTATAAAGCAGGAACAGGAACCAATTCTATTTTCAAAATTTTCCTCTAACCCACCCTAACAAAGCACATGAAGCAACACACAATTAGACCACTATTATAGTAGCAATATCTCATGTACAGTTAAGCATCACAATTTAGCATTTCCCTAAATTTAAAAGCATTATATCAGCATACACAACTGGTTGATTCTGACCTTCACAGCAATAGCAGACAACAAATTCAGAAAGGGTTTGGTATGAACCAGGATGGCAATCCTTTCAAAGTGGCTTGGTAAGGTCCAGTCTGAATAGTCAGGTCAAGGTTAGGGAAGGGCACTGCCTGTTCAGACTCAGTTTTTGTTTTTATTTTAAATTTTATTTATTTGGGGGTACATGTGTGGAAGTCAGAGGGTAAGTTACAGGAATCAGTTCTCTTCTTCTACCATGTGGGTTCCAGGTATGAAACGTTGTCAGGTTTGGCAGTAAATACCTTCGCCTGCCATCTCTCCAGCCCCAGACTCAATTTTGTGAATGGCAAGGATGGAGACATTTTTAGAAGCAGGGAAGGCTTAGAGGCAGTAGCCTACCCAGTGACAGTGAAAAGCAACCTACTTACAAACATACCATATATGCCACCCTAGTAGTGTCACTACACCCTTCTCCTAAAGAAAAAGTCAATACCATCACATACACAGAATCTGCGTTCCTCATAGGTGTACTGCAACCATTCCACCTATCAAAGGAATAAGGCAGAGGTTACTGTTCTACAGCAGCCATCCCACAGCAAAGTTTTCAGTCTGGACTAGTGACAGTCACAATGAGGCAGACCTTAAAAATCATCGACTTGTGAAATGCCCTCACTGGATTAAAAAACCACTAAAGATAATACCTCAAAAGTAGATCTAACACTGCCCTAACATATTTAATCTGTAACAATGGTAAACAAGCCTTCTGAGTTCCTCAGAGAGATCCCCAGGAAGGTATTCTTGTTATTGCCTTTGCAAACCAAAACAGTATCATGTGAAACAGTATCATTTAGAACAAATAAAACAAAACATGAACTTGAAACATAGGCAGACATAGAAGCAATTCTTAGTGCTGCTGGGCATGGTGGCCCACACCTTTAATCCTAGCACTCAGGAACAGAGGCAGATCTCTGTGAGTTCAAGGCCAGTACTACAGTAAAACCCTGTCTCAAAAAAAAAAAAAAAAAAAAAAAGAAAAGGTGACATTGACACTGACAATGGCATTACAAAAGCTTATGCAAATAGGTACATACAAAACTGGATTTGTGATAACTGACAGTTTAAAACAAATGGGGAAATACTTGGTGAAATGGAAAAATAATTTTATATAAAAAGGAACTGTCTCTTAAGATCTTTATGTTCATGTATGTCTCTACAACTTAACTCGAATAACTTGTCTTCTGATACCAACATTTCAAGAGCAAAATAAAAAGTTCACCTATAAAGTTCCCATTTGACTCAGCATTGAGAGGCTAAGTAGGAGGATCATAAATAATCCAGACCAGCCTGTGCTATATAGTAACACTGTCTCAAAAACAAAACACAACAAAACAAGTTCTCATTTGAAGAATGGCTGAGGGGCCTGGAGAGGTGGCTCAGCAGTTCAGAGCACTGGCTGCTCATGCTGAGGACCTGGGTTTAGTCCCCAGCACCCACATGGCAGCTAACAACTGTGCATAACTCCAGTTCCAACGGAATCTAACACCCTCTTCTGACCTCTGAGGTCACTTCACGACAGGGGTGCACTTACATACATGCAGGCAATAAGCTCATACACAAAAAATAAAAATAGTAAAATATTTTTTAAAAAATGGTTGAATAAAGCAAATGAGAAAAGGATTTAATATTTTCATATTTAGTTCACTTAGCAACTTTATAATTATTTTGTCAATCTTACCAATCATTAGTAAATTCAAGGACTCTGAATATCCTTTATTGAAATGCAATTCAGTAAGAACCAC